ATATTTCATGGAGATCTACAACTTTCATGTTGGGAGTTTCCTTTGAATCATCTTGTATCATGGTGAAAATTTGGCTCAAAGTTGAGAAAACATAAGAAATTTTCTATACTTAGAAAAATTTCTAAGTTAAGAAATTTCAAATTTTCAAAGCAAAATCTTAAATCCTTGATTTCTTGATAAAAAAGTTTCACATTTTGACATGTTTTGATGAATTATGATCCTCGGCACCTGATTTTGACCAAAAAGTCAAAGTTTGACTTTTCAGTATACAGTTGACTTTTGATCAGTTAACTGAAAAATTCATCTGTCAATCCAATGGATTTGTAATGTTTTGAATCATGCTATTAGGTCAAAATGATGTGATTGAACTCTTGAAATCATGCTTCAAACCAATTGATCATTTACTAGGTCAAAAATCAGAAATTGCCCCTTCTCAATCAAAACCCTAATTTTGACCATTTTGCCCTTTTGATGATTTGATAAAATTCCTTGAGTAATTATGGTCCAAACTTGATCAAATGATACATATGATTCTAAAATGTTGACGTGGATAAAAAATTATGAAGTTTGACTATAAATTGGCCATGGTTGACTTTTTCCCAATGCAGTTGATTTTTAGGTCAATTGTCCAATTGACTGATCAAAAGTGTGATTCAAGGCTTGAAACTTGACATGAGTAATCTTAGGGGTCCATAACGATGCTTGAAAGTCATATGAAGCATTGATAGTCCAAAAATCCTTGTGCAAATTTAAACCCTAATTTTGGGTCACCAGTGCATGAGGAGGTGTCTTGAGCTGGTCAAACCCTAATCCAGTCTTGAGTCAAAGAGATCTTGTGAGAAAAATCTTGATAAGTGAGAGGGAAAATTTTGGGATACAACAGATGTTGAGAAAATTTAAGAAACTTGATGTTTTGTTCCAAGATTTAAGGAGATTTTTCTACATAATTGGTGCTGCCCTCGGCTTGGGAATCAAGAAATATCTGGGTGAAGATTTCGAAGCCCATGGATTGCCGAGGAGTATATAAAGAGAAACTTAAACCTAATGTAATTTAGCTTTCACAGTTTTGTAAAAATAAGAGGAGGTTTAGAGTCTTAGGTTTTGAGAGTCTCTTGTGTGTTTTGAGTGTCACTCTTGTATCTTTTGAGCTTTTAAGCAAGGAGTTGATTATGTGTCTAGTTATTGTTCTTAGTTAAAAGCTTTTAAGAAAAAAATAAGTATTGTTTATTAGAAGTATAATATTATCTGGTTTTGGTTCTAATCACTGGTTTGTGACTGGTTTTTATCACAGAGGTGATTGTTGGAAGTGAAAGGGGGTTCTTATATCTAGGAGATTCCTAGGTAGAAAATGCATAGGGTAGTGATTAGGTGATAAGTTGTAAATTGGGATTGTATAGGCTTTGAAATAATACTATTATAGTGGATTTCCTTCCTGGCTTGAATGCCCCTAGAGTAGGTGATGTTGCACCGAACTGGGTTAACAATTGACTATGTTCCTTATCATTTTGCAATTTATTTTTGAATAATTTACAGTTTGATATATTAGTTAAGCCTGTCAATAGATGTCTTAACATTTGTCTTGACATTGTATTCTGATATTGGGACATACGTATTAACATGTTTTAAAGTGTCAGAATTTCAATTGGCATCAAAACTGACACCCTGATATGTTTATTGGGTGAGCTTTAGGGAGATTTTTTCTGGTACTATATGTCTTTTGGAAGGATATAATGATAGCATTCTTGAAATCAATGGACAACAGAACTTGGAAATTTGTCATGTTGAGAGAATCATGGTGCTAAGGATATAGAAGGAAAGATTATGAGTTGGATCTTGTTAACTCTAAAGCTTTGAATTCCATATTCAATGGAGTTGATAAAAATATGTTTAGACTATTAAACACATGTGTTATGGCCAAAAGATTCTTGGGAATTTCTCAAGACCACTCATGAAGGCGCATATGGTCAGGAAGATAGTGAGGTTTCTACCCAAGAGATTTAACATGAAAGGGACAACCATTGAAGAAGATCAAGGCATCAAAAAAATAGATGAACCTTTTAGGTCACTTCAAATTTATGAGCTGATTTTTAAAATGACAGATATGATTAAAAGAACAAGAGATTGGTTTCTGTCTCTGACTTTGTAGGATCTTGTGACCTGGTTTCTGATGAAGGTTTATTCAATGCTATTTTGTTCCTTGGGAGGTAATTCAACCAGATTCTAAAGGAAGTGGATAAAAGGTCATGGCCAAATGTCAAGAACACCAATCCTTCCATTATCAAGGACTATGGTGCTCAAAGAAAAGCTGGAACAAAATAAAAGGCCAATCAAAGTAAAGACATTCAGTGTCATGAATTTGAAGGCTTTGGACATATTTAGAACATAATGCTCTACCTATCTCAAGAAATAAATTAAGGGGCTTTCTATTTCTTGGTCTGATGAGGGATGTGATCTTGTTGATGAATCTACCAAGGTTGTTACTGCATTAACTTGAAGGTGGGCTTCTGACGTAGACTCATGTAATAAAGGAATAACTTATGATGAGATGGAGGCTTCCTACATATAATTATGGGTCAAAAGTGAAGAAGTTTATCAACAAGGAGAAAAACAGAAGGTAACTATTTTTCAACTATAGGCTAAAAAGAAAAAATGTTTCTCTACCATCTATAATCTGCAGAATGAGGTGACTTTATTGACCTCTAAACTTTAAAACATGATCAAGTTTGTGAGGATGTTGAACAATGATTCTAATTTATTGGATGTGATTCTTCAAGTTGGGAAGTTGAATATAAATCTATAAGATATAGGTTTTTATTATCAAGGCTCTAACAAACAATAAAAAATATCAAGTGAGAAAAGTTTGTTCCCATCAAAAGGTAGGTTGGGTTAATGATGTCAAACAAAATGTCTCATCATCATGGAAAACATCAGAATACTCAAGCTAAAGGCAGGTAATTTCTCTGAAGATGTCACTTATATGGTAAAGTTTATCATATCATGCATTTATTATGGCTATCCCAAAGGTCCATTTCAGCCTAAGGTTAACCAAGCAGTGGTTAAAACTCAAAGAAGGTGCTAATTTCTTTTTGCTCATACCTCTCTTGAAACTTCAACAGAGAGTGTTGGTATTTTGGCAGTGCCTGTTCCAGATACATGACTGGAGTAAAAAAGTTTCTAGGAATTATTTAGTCTCATTCTACCAGTTTTGTTAATTTTGGTGATGGTGCCAAAATGTGACATTAAGGGTGTTGGAGAACTGGATTGATTTTGTTCTCCTTGTTAAAAGTATAATAACTAATATGATAATCATAAGTCAATTATGTGATCAAGGTCTGAAGGTAAATCCCTCTAAGGGAGTATGGTTGATCAGTAATGAGAAGATAGAAGTTGTGATGAGGAAGTTAGTTCCAAAGATAATTGTTATTTGTGGGTACTACAAGAAACTACTGGCTCATCCACATGCTTAATATCCAAGGAAAGTAAAGTCATGCTGTCACACCAGAAGTTGCAACATCAGACTTCTGACAAATTTCTAGAACTTCCTTTTATGAATCTAATGAGGTAAACTCAAGGTGAGAGTCTTGGTGGATAGAGGCATGTCTATGTGGTTGTTGATGATTTTTTTTGCTTTCTAAAATAGTCTGAGTAATCTATAGCAAAGAAAAATCAGATATATGTGAGGACTTCAAAGGTCTTTAGCAACTTCTTCAGGGAAAGATGAATTCCAAATATGATGAAGGTATATTTCTAGGTCACTTTACTGATAGCAGAACTTATAGAGATGTTAACTCCAAAACCAAAGTCAATGATTCAAGCATTAAGAAAGGGACTGATGTCACTCGGTAGATTCGATCGAAATTGTGTTGAAGTTGTGTTTCCATTTTCCACATATTCACTCTAAATTGGAGTCGGGCTCGCCGATACCTATTTATTGGAACAATTAGGATTTTCAAGAAATTGAAGAAGAAGAAGAAGAGATAGAGATAGAGATAGAGAGGATATGAGAGGAGAGAGAAAATATATTGGATTTGATTTGTTCCATAAAAATCTCCAACAAAAAATATGATTTGTTATATTTCAAATTTAAATTTAAATCTATATTTAAATATGATATTATCTTCAACCGTTGTCAAACAAATCTCACAAACATTGTTAAACAATTTGTAACGAATCTGATTGAATCCCAACTAAAATTTTTGCACCAAACAACATCCATCATGGCATGCTGTTCAGGACCAGATGTTGCATTGTTCACATAATTAAACGCCGTGTTTCACATGTTGCGCCAGTACATCCAAAGTAACTCGTCTCCATGAATTATAGATCTTCTTATAGAGCGAATCATAGATATAATAAATCTGAACTAATACTGCAATAGCATTTATCTGTTGTCAGAATCAGATATTACCTCACACATATTGGAACATCGTATTCCACATATGTCCCTTATGTACAAAAAAAACACAATTTAAACAAATTCCATATTATTCTGTATAATGCAACAAATCCAAAAATACCAACAAACAATTTTCTTGATATCCTCTTAAACAAATTCCATATTATTCTGTATAATGCAAAAATTTATTTTATTTAAAATTAAATTAATACTTTAAAATCAATAGTTAGAATGGGCATGGAACCGACACCAGTTCTCCCTATAAATAAGTAATGAAAGTGTGAGTTAGGGTTTCATAACAGAAAAGAGTAAGTTTTGTTTGAATTTTGATGAATGGCAGAATCAGAGAACGTTGAAGAAAGGGAATCGAGACGCATTAAGGATCCTTTGAAATCTGATCGAATTCGTCCAAACCCTTATATGGATGCAGTGCTTGCAGATCCTGTTGTTTTAGTTATAACATTAGAATATTATCTTTATCTTATCTTTATATATAATATACAATCATAATCTCCTTCTAAAATAAAATAAAATAAAAGCTAGGGCTTACAATATATAGTTTTTTTCAGCAAATGAAATGAAGTGATAAAAAGTAAAGTAATAACTACCACACGTTTACTTTAGGCATAGAAGTCCAAGCACAATAAGCACAAACTAGCTTCTGAGATATATACACATAAACAGCAAAAGAAATACTCATTAGAAACAAATCTTTCCAATCACCCTTTTGTTGTTGTGGACTTAAATTCTTCATCTTCTGTGGCCTCTTCCCAATCACCTTCTCAAAATCTTTCAAAATTACTTTCCATTTCAACAATGGGCTCTTCCCTTTTCCTCCTCTTCCCATGTCTTTCTTTTCTTCATGATTGGAGTTAGAGATGGATGGTCTTCTACCTTGGCAAGACAGTGGAACAAAAGGGGTCCTTAGATTACACCAACAAGGTCCAATAATGAGCGATGCCATAGAAGGATGTTTTTGTTTATTGGAGTAGGAGTTGTATTATTGTTTTCAAGTGTGCTCTTTCTTTATTACTAAGATAAATTATTGCACCTTAGATATTTTGTTCACATGGGTTGGTTGATGGATAAGGGGTCTTTTATTGACCCTAGACATTGTGTGGAGGAGACACGATATAATGGGAGAAAATAAAATATAAATGTTTTCTTTTCAAAATTAAATAAATTAAGAGAATGAAAATTATGTACAATTAATGTTCAGCTGTGAACTTAAAGATTAATTTTGTAGTGTATCTAAATGAATTAAGTTTAAGGGGATATCTCTAGAGTCTTTATTATTTTGAGTCATAAAATACTTCTTACTATCTTCAATAATCACAGCGTCGTTTGCAGGTACGTCGAGTCGAGTTAACAGAACACCAACTACAAGGCAAAATACACCATCAAATTTAATATCAATTGATTTAGCAGTGAACACCTCATATTCACACAAGATTATTGAAGTCGTCTTATAAATTTATATAACATAAGATCATTGGTGGAACCTTAAACAAGTTTTTAAAAAATCATCGAGGGACTATGATCTTGTATTTTACTTGTTTTTGTTAAGATACCTCAAATGCATAATATGACCATTTGTGTAAGGCAACCAAGTGGATTTATCCTAGGGGTGTATGTGTGCAAGTGTATTGATTTTCATACTTGATTTGTCTTTGATTAGAGTTTCCTATTGATTGGTTTTAGTCTTTCCATGCAAAATCCTAATTACTAGTACTTGTACATAAAGCGATAAATTGCGGAAATTAAAATTACTACACTATTATAATACTTAGGGGAGTGGATGTACAAATTATAAATGGGGAACATTGCAAGAATTTAAATCTAAATAATATTACAACCATATTGAATTTTGAATAAATGTACTAAACAAATAAATAAAATGTAAGAATGCAAATGTAAAAAATAAAAATGTAACTTTTGTTTGATTTTTCATGAGAAGAGGTTTTTGACTTAATTAATTAAAATAAAATAATTAACTTAAAGAAAAGAAATAATATTAAGTTAGTAAACTAAATTAATTTAAAGAAAACAAGTTTTTTAGGGTTTTTGTGGATTTAATTAAGTTAGTAAATAAAATAATTAAATAAAAGCTCTAAATTCTAAATTGATTTTAATTTGTAAGAAAAATAAATGATATAATATAATAATAATTAAAATAAATTATCTAAGTATTTTTTTTAAAAGTAAATTTAATTGTAAAAGAAATGTTTTTATTCTTTTGTTTTGATGAAGAAAAATAAAAAATAAAATGTGTGAAAATAATAAATAAAAATATTTTTTAGGTTTTTTTTATCACTAATAATAAAAATTAATATTAATAATAATACTAATAATAATAATAATAAAAATGAAAAATGAAAAAAAATAAAATGGGCAAGGATGTATGAACAGCAAGATAGGGGTTAAAGTGTAGCAAAAAAAATATGGCCCAGAGCTAAGGAGGCCCAGGCGCTGCAAAAACACAAAAAATGTCAAAAAAGTGGGAAAAAAATAATGGAAAAAGGTCACGCTGGGGCTTGAACCCAGGACCTCATGGTGACAGGCGCGCACTTTAACCATTGGGGTGGTGATACATCCGTTAAGTTATGTCAAACCATAAATATATAACATAAATCTTGCCCTAAATATACTTCATCTTCAACCTCTAGCCAGAAGCCCTGTAACTTGTTCATTTCCCAACCATTTGCAAAAATATAAACATGAAAATTGCTCCATTTTTTCATACGAATCCAACCATATAAATATCATTAAATATAAATCAAAGATGAATGAGAATATCTAAAAGTACCAAATTCTGACCTAATTATTTTCAGAGATTCAATCCTAAAATTCTCCTAACTCAATCAATATAAATAAAATCTATGGACATGTACAGCTTCAAGGCAATGATGTCTATATTTTATCTTCATAAATGCAAGCCTAACAATGCCTAAGTAATGAGATAGAAGTTCAAGAAAAATACCTCAAAACTGGAAATCGTAAAATGCAAATGAGCTTGATTCAAGGTGCTGCAATGATCAGGTTAGCTTCCTCAAATTCTCAGGAAGCTAATGCAATGGTTTGCTTGAGCAATGGATGGCTGGAATGACTTGGAGAAGTCAATGTGCAATGCTCTGTTTTTGGTTATGGAGGATATGGTAAATGATGTTACAGTAATGAAACAGGGACAGAGATAGGTTACACTTGATGTAAGGAAGCTGTAGAGACTAAAAGGCCAAGAAACGCACAAGGGAAATATGAGTTTGGTGTTCAAGGTCAGAAACTGTACAACAATGGAATTTTTGAGCAATTTCTGATTTGAGAGAGTTTTGGTGTATTTGAGGGTGCTTAAGCTCGTCCTTTAGCTCACAAATAGTGCCTCTATTTAAAGGAACAAGTATGGAGGCTTGTATCTGATCAGAATTCAAAATCACATGTTTAAGCTCAACATGTCATTTTTTGAGAAATCAAGTTTCAATGTTTTGTGTACTGGCTAAGATAGAGTGGTTATGTTTTAAGCACACTTGCTTATGACTTTATAGATGGAGTGTGATCAGAGGGAACAAGTTAGAGGCTCAAGAATTGACTTTGCACAAAAAGCTTGCTTTTTTAAAATGGAAGTGCTCACTTTGTGCCATTAATGGAAATGCGGATTGGACAAAGCTTAAACAACTTGGATTAAAGCTCAAAAGTTTGTGTAATATATTAATGATGGATATATACACAAGTTAGAAGGCCTGAAAATCAAGATTATGCAGCATAACATTGAAATTTCATTTTTGTTCATCATGAAAATGGCCTATAATTTTAGTTTGAAACCCTAACTTCCTCTCTTTGATTCTCCTTGCTCAAGAATGATCTCAAGGAGTTCTTGGACATTTTGGAAAGTTTGTAATATTCTATACAACCCCTCTTTGAATCAATTTTGAAAATTCCCCTTGGAAATATATGAAAAAGTGCTATGAAGTTAGACCAAAATCCTGCCTAAACTAGGGCAAAATTTCACTAAGTGTTTAATTTCAAGACTATGACTTCATGAATTAATAACTTGAGATCCAAGCATTTTTAGGATAAGTTGTGTAAAGAAATTTTGTAGATATCATGGAGATCTACAACTTTCATGTTGAAAGTTTCTTTTGAATCATCTTGCATCATGGTGAAAAATTTGCTCAAAGTTGTGAAAAAACATGAAGTTTTCAACACTTAGAAAAATTTCTAAGTTTGAAAACTTTGACTTTTCAAAATGAAATCTTGAAAATTTTTTATTTCTTGATGAATAAGTTTCATATTTTGACATGTTTTGATGAATTGTTATCTTTGACACTTGATATTGACCAAAAAGTCAAAGTTTGACTTTTCAGTATACAGTTGACTTTTGATCAATTGACTGAAAATTCACTATCAATCCAATTGATCTTGAGAAATGTTTTGGGTCATGCCATTAGGTAAAAATGATGAAATGTAAATCTTGAGATCATGCCTCAAACCAATTAACCATTTGCTATATCAAAAATCAAAAATTGCCCTTTCTCAATCAAAACCCTAATTTTGACCATTTTGCCTTTTTAATGATTTGATCAAATTTCTTGAGGAATTATGGTCCAAACTTGATAAAATGATACATATGAGTTTATAATGTTTATGTGGACCAAAAATAATGAAGTTTGACTGTAAATTGGCCATAGTTGACTTTTTCCTCAATATAGTTGATTTTTAGGTCAACTGCTCAATTGACTGAGCAAAAATGTGATCCAAGACTTGAAACTTGACATGAGTAATCTTGGGGGTCCATAATGATCCATTAAAGTCATATTACGCATTGGAAGTTCAATTATCCTTGTGCAATCTCAAACCCTAATTTGAGTCATCAGTGCTTAAGGAGGTGTCTTGAGTTGATCAATCCTTGTGCAGTCTTGAGCCAAGAGATATCTTTGTGAGAAAATATTTGATAATTGAGAGTTAAAATTTTTGGATACAACAACTTCCCCTGTTCAATATTCTTAAACCTGAAGAGTTAGATTGGCGGATTTGCCATTCGTGACTTGAAGGTGGAAGATGATTGGACACTAGAGTGCCCAGAAATTTGCACTTGAGGACGTGATGGTTGATGGTGTAAGGAATGGTCTTAAAGATGCCATTTGGAGAGGTGATGGAAAGTTGTTGGAGATGGGCTTACAGATGCCATCGAAAAATGATTGTTGGCAGGAATGAAAGAAGTGTCAGAATGAATCTCTAGTTGATTTATACTGAAATAGTAGATATATTAGGTTGAGTATCAGAATAATATCCATAAATGGATTGTATTTGAATCGTATCTGAAAACTGCAACTGAATGAGTATCAGAATGGCGTCCGTGTCTGGAGTGTATCTGAACTGTATCTGAAAGCTGAATCTGAATGAGTATCAGAATGGCGTCCGTGTCTAGAGCGTATCTAAACTGTATTTGAACGCTGAATCTGAATGAGTATCAGAATGGCGTCCTTGTTTAGAGCGTATCTGAACTGTATCTGAAAGCTGAATCTGAATGAGTATCAGAATGGCATCCGTGTCTGGAGCGTATCTAAATTGTATCTGAACGCTGAATCTGAATGAGTATCAGAACGGCGTCCGTGTCTGGAGCGTATCTGAACTGTATCCGAAAGTTGAATTTGAATGAGTATCAGAATGGCGTCCTTGTCTGGAGCGTATCTGAACTATATTTGAAGGTTGACTGAGAAGAGACCCGTGTAGGATTGCTTCAGCTAGTCGTGTAGATAATTGTCCCAGCTTGTTTCAGGTATTAATCTCTGACCCTTTTGTAAATTATTGATGATAGCCATCTGTTGACTGATCTTTCCCGAATAGATGAAATATTAGTTGTATGCAATGTCATGATGTATGAAATGCATTGTACAATGGTGTTCTCAAATGAGATCATGTTGCATGTATTCGTGTTGTCAATTTTATGACGTATAGATGCGATGTATG